TGTTGAGATCAGAGGCAGACTAAGAGCAAGGCAGGCAAATAATATCCCACTATTAGTGTTATTATTTAAGCAGTGACAGACAAATACAATCATAAATATATTTTTTAAAAGAATTCAACATAAACAGACAAATACCTTTGTCACTTCCATAATTAGTGACTTAAGCACCCATTTTCCTGTGATAGAAGAGAGAATAACCTAGGGGCATTCCAAGATGACTAGTCCAATACCTTGCCTTCCATAGTCCTATGTCTTGGTCCTAAATGTTTCAGCTTAGTCTATGTTTTTTGTTCCTTTCCCTGGGACGCTCTCAACTGTTCCCAGTTGAAGAAGCTGTATCAGAAATTACAGGTTTTTCTGTGATATCTGAAAAGGTCAGAAAATAATTTGTGATTTTCCTAGTAGAATAATCTTGTTTTGAATGATTGTGTCCTGTAAATAAGCTTTACAGTCTATTTTTTGTATCAGAGAGACTCAAGTGAAGCTGTTAAAGTTGCTATTACTGCAACTATGTGTTAACGTTTTGTGTGAGAAGATTGGGCCATTTTTGTGTTAGGGAGGGAGACAAAAGTAGCCAGTTAACTGTCACCATCAGTTCCCACACCCTTCAGACAGTCTGCAAAATTAAGGCTCACTCTTACACCCAGACGAAGCCTTTTCAGAGGAAGAATCACAGGCCCTGGGAGAAGCTTGCGCTTCTGCTTCCTGTATAAGGGCAATCAGAGGAACACAAGTTTAAGAGCTCAGCATTCTAGTTCTCTCCCTTTCAGAGCAGCTGTGACAAGTGCAGCACAGACCACAGAGGACGCTCTCAATCAAGACCAGGCTACAAACAAAAACACCAGCCTGTAGTAAGCAAACCACTCTCATTGCAGAGCAGTTATTGTGGGTCTGAAGTCTCTTTGTCCCCCTGGGGCAAGAAGAGAGCAAGAGTGGAAAGGAAAGCAGCATGAACATTGTCATGATGTTACCAAGTGAAAAATAACTGCATTTAAAACAAATCAATAAAAGAAAATAAAGTATTACCTTTTTGACTATAAGAAAAAAGTTGGGATTTTAAATTCAGGGATAAAGGATACACTAAGAGGTAATGGGACTATCACACAGAAACAGCAGTGGCAAAGGAAGGATGTGGCCTGTGGTTCTGTCATGGTTTAACCCCAGTCAGCAACTAAGCACGACACAGCTGGTTGCTCACTCCCCCACCATCAGGACCAGGAAGAGAACTGGAAGAGTAGAAGTAAAAAATTCGTGGATTGAGATAAAGCGAGTTTAATAGGTAAAGCAAAAGCCATGCACACAAGGAAAACAAAAGAAGGCATTCATTCATCACTTCCCATGGTCAAGGAGGTGTTCAGTCATTCCTAGGACAGCAGGACTCCACTATGCATAATCATGACTTGGGACAACAAAGGCCATCACTCCAATCATCCCCCTCTTCCTTCCTATTCTTCCCCCACCTCACTTTATATACTCAGCATGACACCCTATGATACGGAATATCCCTTGGATCAGCTGGAGTCAGCTGTCCCCACTGTCTCTCCTCCCAGCTTCCCATGCACTCCCAGCCTCCTTGACAGAGTGGCAATATAAGAAGCAGAAAAGGACGTGAATTTTGTGTTTGCACTACTCAGCAGCAACAAAAACATTTCCATCTTATCAACAGTGCTTCTGGCACAAATCCAAAACACAACCCCGCACTAGCCACCGAGAAAAAATGTAACTCTACCTCGGTTAAAACCAGCACAGGTTCTTATGGCAATCTTTCATGGTGACTGATTGACAAAAATGGGAGGGTGGAGTCATGGGTGGGATTGTTTTTGTACGAGGTTGTATCATTGTGGGGACGGGGGTACACGATGATACATTCCCCAGGAGGCCTTTACAAAAACCTATACGCGCATAAGCCTTGTGGAAGAGCGTGTTGAGGCAGCTGCAGAGAATTCTGCAGCAGAGCAGGCATGTTCTGCCTTGGTTTTTCTTGACAGATCTAGTATGCTAGGACTTTCATCATGTGAGAACTGAGCCTGCCCTCTCTGGGAAGCAAGCTAAGAAATTCTAAGACATTGAAATAATTTTCAGCAAGCCAAATTGACTGCAGGTGCACCTAAAGCTTTTCAGAGTATGCAAAGCAGAAATTAGTACTTTTTTCTGATGCGCCAATGTTTGCAATAGATGACAAAATGGTTCTTTATTAATGTGATGCAAGTGCTAGAAAAGGAATTCTGTCATGTAGCAGAGATGCTATATGAAGTGTATTGGAGTTTTCTCTCTTAAATAAGCCTCCAGTGTCCACTGACTGACTCATGCCTGTGAGAACAAAGGTTTTCTCTAATCCTTCTCCACACTGTCTCACATCAGTTCTTCCTAATGGGTATCAAGTGTTTGTCTGAGACCAGTCAACTGATTATTCTGGACTCTCCTTCTGTGGATTATTTTAACGTATGAGAAAACTGAATGGGATCCTGAAAGCCTATTCAAGATGATTGACCTGTCATGGAAGAGAAAACAAATGTATTTGCTTTAGCTCAGTGCCAAAGGCAAACCACCTACATTGACTATGAAAACCACAAAACAAGTATTATTTGATTATTAACTCCACAGGGCACAGAAAGGAAGCCTTCACAATGCTCAGAGCACAAAATGGAGAGTGAGGGAGCTCTGGTTGTAGAGGAATTCTGTTTCTAGTCAATGACAGCCTTTGGGTACCTCTGCATGTTTTTGAGATCTGCAAAATGAGAATAGCAGGTAATTTCAATGGCGTAACGTGGAGATCTGAGAAAGGTTGCAAAAACAACTTGAGGTGAAATGTAGACAATAAGTATCAAAAAACTCTGGCAAATGCTTTTATGAATGCTACAGATTATACAGTAGATTTCAAGATGGTTTTCTGTCAAACCCCTTCAGACAGAAATTGAGTGACCTTTGGGATTTCAAATAAAGTAATGATTGCTTAAGCTTCTGCTTATAGTGAGTCAACTGCAGTGCATCCCTTTTCTTAGTTTATGATACAGCGCTTTGTCACTGTGAATAATAACAAGTTGTTTTTTGGCGATGGCACAAAACTTACAGTAATAGGTAAGAAATTTTTGTTTTCTCTTTCAATTTCTTAATTTTCCGTCAAATCCCTTCAGCCAGAGATTGAGCGACCTTTGGAATTCCGAATGCACTAATGATCGCTTAAGTTTCTGCTTATAGTAACTCAACTGCAGTGCTTCCCTTTTCTTAGCTTATGATACAACAGTTTGTCACTGTGAACTATGGTAATATGATTTTTGGCGATGGCACGAAACTTACAGTAATAGGTAAGAAATTTTTGTTTTCTCTTTCAATTCACTTCTCTTTAGAGAACTTCATCATTGTTCTCCCTTTCATTATTAAACTGGTGTGCTCCTGATGTGCTGGTAAACCAGTTTGCTTTGGAGAAGAGACTAAGTTTAGTACTCTAGGTAAGGACACAAGTTTCATATTGGATAACTAAATTAACGCATGTCAGTGAATAAAAAGCTGTCCATATAAAGAATTAGGATAAGGAATGGGTTAAAAAATGTGTGCTTATCATAAAAAAATTGCCTTAATAAATCGACATATGCAAAAATCCTTATTTCCCCAGAAGTATAACTATTATCTGTAATGCTAGTTCTCCTGGGGCTACAGATGACTAAGGAAAAGTCAGTGAAAAGCTATCTGTCTGTCTAGAAAGAACTGACTTACAGTTACACTTTGAACAGTTCTAGAAAACAAAATCAAGACTATACAAGTTTAAATTACTTTGGATCTTTTCAGGGTAAACTAAAGCATGTGTTATCTCAGATAACTGTGAAAAACAAATGTTCTGCATTTTTGGTTGATAAAACAGAAGGCACAAATAAATACTTGACTTTATAATAAGCAATACTAAGAGCTCTCTGCAGCTGTTTAATTCCTTGTTGTCATAGAAAGTAACTCTCCACAGCACAGCAAGTTTCTTTCCACTAAACAGGCTCATCAGGGTGGTGATAAAAGATCATTAAGGACAACAGTCTTTCTATTTCAGAATAGATGATAAACAGCCACTGAAAACCACAGAAACAGAATATATGTTTCATTTCAAATAGAAGAAGCTCTCAGGGAATGTTTCTTTCTGGGCCACATTTATGGATTTGGATTCTCCAATCCAGATGAAAACAAAGTTACTTCTAAGACTGATAGCTGATGGTGATCTCTTCTTCTCATTGTACTGCTCCTGGAGACTTTTGTACCACATTGTGCCACTACAGAATAAATTGATTACAAGTGATAAAATTCAGTTTCTATAGGAAAAAACTCAGTGATCAGATCATTTTTCAAAATCCAATGTGTATCTGAGGTGCCTGAACTGATGAAAATGAATACACCTATCCCTCATTTATCACAGACAATTATGCGGCTAACTTGAATAATCATCACTAAGAGAACAGAAAGAATAAAAGCAGAGACTTCTTTCCTGGGAAGGAGAAAGGGAGGCGTGTTTAGGAACTGCTGCAACTGGGAGAGTGGACCAGGATCCTGTGCTATATGTTAAAAGTATTTTGCAAGTGAAAAAAAAAGGTATTTATTTTACAAATGAAGGGTATTCATGATGTTGAAAAAAAAATGAGGAAATTAAGGAAATGAGGCTGTTTAGTTGAGAATAAGCAAATTATTCTTTTTGCATATGGAAAATATTTTTTAATATTACACCTAGATAAAGGGATAAATATCCTCTAAAGAAATGGTGAAAGCGTCGACAACTGATTCACCGAAGCCCAAAGCAAAAGGACTCTGGATGCAGTATTTCTGATATTGACCTCAGCTGGTTAAACTCTCAGATGTGGTGGTGTTCCCTTACAGACCTTTGTTTTTAGGGACCATAGATTGCTGTACTTTGTGTTTCTTCTTTTGCTGGTACCACATGAGGGGAGGATTAGTCCGCAGGTTTGGCTAAGAGGACTGAGAGTAGAGGAGAGGTTTTTCTGCAGCCACAAAACAGTGTGAATAATGAAAGACTGTACTTTGGCAGTGGGACAAAACTCACAGTCATAGGTAAGTCAGAAGTCAGATCTCTGTGATATGTGTGATACTGGTTTAGGGTACAAGAGTACTCTTAATTAAAAGCAGAATAATGATCTAAAATGATTTTTCATAAGGCCATGAGAACAGGATTAATGCTTTATTGGTTGCTTATTAAAATGAGATACACTATTACGGACGTGTAGGATTTGCAGGCAAATTTTGAGATCTTTGTGTCTGTCTGTAGCCTTTGTCTTTAATTTCTGGGAGCATCAAAGGAATAAATAATTCTGTTTCCTGCCATTCTCTAAGAAAACATTAGAGAGGTTGAGAATGAAAAATGCTTCTTCGGTCTGCAGGTTTTTGCAGTTCATCTATGTAACAATCCAAAGCAATGCTTCAGAGGTAGAGTCCAGATTCTCCTGTGTGCTGAATTAAGCAGGGAAAGAGTAACATTGCTGGCACTTTGCTTGCCTCTCCATAGGTGGTTGGCAGGCTGCCTAACATTGCTTTGGGACACTGGCATCTGCTAACAGTCCTTTTCATAGCTTCTGATTCTCTCAGGACACTTTTCTCCTCTCTTCCTTCTCCTTTTCTAGATTTGCTGTCTCTGTCTTCTCCCCTCCCAGGAAAGAATTTATTATCACCTCTATCAAGGCATTTTGGAATCACAGAGCAAAGTAACCTTTCCCATCTGATAGCAAACTGTAGAAATACACGCTGGTGCCTGTTCCTTTAAACCGTACCATTTTAAGGAACTAAGTGTCTGACAGGAAAAGCATAACAGCACTGAGAGTTACAACCTGATTGTGTGCAGCTGTGTAACTGGGCTACTTACCTTTGGAGCTGGCGCTGTGCTCAGAGTTATAGGTAAGTAGCTGTGATTAACCCGAGTACTCAATGTGGAGGACACTTGAAAATTTCCCTTGTATTAATGATATGCAGCATATACACAGACGATTTTAAAATGAGAGTAGGAGTGGAAGAGAACAAGGAATTATGAAACTGACCTTGCCATGATGGGAATGGAGGAACTGCAGTACTTTTTCTCTTAGGTGGATGAAAACTGTGTGACTGGGAATGCAGGAGTTTATGCATGGAAGTGATTAAGCTTTGTGCCAGTGTCTGCCATGAACAGTGTGGAAGATGAGAACACAATGGGCTGTTGATAACACTTTTTTCTGGTTGCCTTCGTTCTTGCTTTTACGAGTCTCCTTATTCCATGTAAAACATGCTCATTTTCTGGCTTTCTTTGTCTTTCCAGTAGTTTTATCATTCTTTCTCTCTGCCTTTTTCACCTACTTTCCTCTTTGTCTTTTATTGGTCTGTTCAATCTCTCTCATTTTTTCTTTTGTGTCCTCCTGTTGTTTCCATCTCTTCACTCATTAGCTATGTAGGCTATGAGTCAATGAACTTGTCGGAGATACTTTTAGGACAGGAAGAAAAGTTATAAAGCCAAGTGCTAAATGGGGGCAGTAAAAGTGATCAACCTCATATCCACTGAAAGCAAAGCAGAGCAGTGCCAAATCTTCTAGGGAATTATCTCTATTAATATCTATGTACAATTAAGGCTAACATTTGAAAGCAAACACTGGTGCTTAGGAGTCAAGATCTATGAAGATATAAATTTCTGCTAATTCTGCTAACTCTCTTACTCTGCAAAGGAGAGAATGATCAGGAAGGACATCTACAATTTAGGGTGCCTTTACAATGAAAGAACAGCAATAGTTTTCTCTTTGGCTCCATAGTTCTCTCTGCCTTTCTGTTTCCACAAGCATTCTGCAGACCTGTTGGGTTTATCATACTAGATGAGTAAAAAAGGCACTCTACTCAGTATATGGGGGAAAAATGGCTTTTAGCATCAGTGACTAGCTTCTGAGTAACTTCTCATTGCTACCTTGTACGTCCTTTTGACTAAAATCTGTTCCCATTAGTCTTACATGTAGGTATTAAACACTATAGGACGGGAGACAACTTTTGGTTTGTAGTGTATAGAATCTGGTATCATTTTGTGAAGATGTGTAGTCTAGGATGAGGGCTTCTCATACCTAGGATAACCTAAACAAAAAATTGCATGAAGAGATATTTATTAGTCTTAAAATAGGATGACAAGTTAAGACCCAAAGCAAAACTTGTCCCAGGCTGATTCATATTACCTACCTCAAACATTCACTTCAGACAGTGAGAAAGATTAGCTCTTTCCTCTCAAGTCACCTCTTAGATAGGGGGTCCAAGAAGGGTACCACATGACAGTGTAATTCTGAACACTGCAATGACCATCATGTCTTAGCTACATCTTCAGGAATGTAGCTCAGTCCCTTGAAGATGCTTGTGCCTTAGAACAGACTCCCTTATCTATTAAGACAATATTGTAAATACAGGCCTTACACCATAACTGGGTACTCTTCTGCCCACCTCTTTCCTCAGCTTCTTTCCAACTCTCTTATTCTTCTGACAGAGGTAATACTAGAAATTCAAATACTCACGCATTTCTGTAGCCAGACCTTTTATATTTCTGTGTATTAAAGGAAAACAAATGTTTTCAGTTTCCTGGTGTCCAATATCTAATAGATATTAGTTCTCTAATAGACAGTTGTTAAAGGGCCAGGTATATCAGGAGTAACACAACACAAACACAGTACAATTTTAAGGAGTTTCTGATTGAATAGAGTAATGGAGGCTCTGGGCCATATTGCTTTCTGTTTCAGAGAAGAATAAGGAAATCATACCTCCATCTGTGGCCATCTTTTACCCATCGAAGCAGGAAATCCAACAGAAGAACAAGGCCACACTGGTGTGCCTGGCCTCTGGTTTCTACCCTGACCACCTGACTCTGGTCTGGATGGTAAATGATGTTAAAAGGACAAAAGGAGTGGGGACAGATGAATTCTCCACACAGAATGGGAGTACCTACTCGCTGACCAGCCGACTGAGGATCCCAGCCTGGGAATGGTTCAACCCTTTGAATCATTTTGAGTGTGTTGCCAATTTTTTTCAGAATGGAAAAGAGGAATCCGTACACAAAGTTATCTCTGGTGATGCTGGTGAGTAAAAAATGTGTATCACCATGCTGTACAAACTAGAAATCACAAATCAAAAGTGTGTGTGCTATGATATGAAACATATCTATGTAAAACTTCTATCCAGGGTGTTGTTATGGCAAAATACATATCTAAATATGTAGGTATTAGCATATGTCTCTTCATATTCCTGGGCCTCTCTATCTACATTAGCATTATATATTTATAGTTTCTTCAGCTTTTCACTGAGAAATCTCTGTAGTATAGTAAAACATATAGTATAATAAAATATATATTATAGTATAATGAATTTATTGAACTAATGAATTATAATGAATTAGGCAGTATTTTGTAAACTGAAACTTCTAAAATTTATGGTCTGTTTGATTTGAAAAGAAACATGACTTTCAGTTTATTTTTGTCTTTCAGGTTGTGCAGTTACAGAAGGTATGTGTTTCTTCTCACAGGCAAATATCTGTACGTATTTGAATTCCAGTTTTACTGACACTAAGTACAAGGTGTGTAAGATTTCTACCACATGAATAGCTTCTGCTTTCTCATCTAAGTGATTTGTATGTTAGATTTAAAAAAAAAAAAAAAAGAAAAAAGGAAGAAAAGACTTTGAGAAGGTTGTTTGTGCATACTGTATGTAGCGATGGTGTTGGGTTTTAGCTCTTCCTTATGGTTCCCTTTTGAAAACACAGGAGAAATACTGGAACCTTCCTGTACAGTGTAATTTGCTCTTTATTATCTCCTCCTGTCCTTAACACTGCCTTCTGTTGGGAAGATTCTTGCTCAGTCATGAAAGAGATGAGTCCTACTTATCCAAGCAATTATGACATGAAGATTGAGAATCCAAAATTCTGAATATTTCCTATATAAAATTCGACATACTTCTGATGGCAAGTCACATCCCCCTCCAAACTGGAGCTATATAGAGACAATATCCAGATTACAGATTACATTTCTTTCCTTTATGTATACGTATTTACTCACTCCTGTTTTTCACTAACTTCTTTAATGTTTCAGGAATCTTAAGGCTGAACCAACATTGAGGTGGTATCTCAATACTACTGCAACTCCTTAAGAGCGAAAAATCTACAAGAATAAACTGCTAGATACCATATTATTCTGGGCTGTGTAAAACTCTCCTGATATGTAAGCAGCACTCATAAGGCCACTGACAGTAATGAGAGAAAAAAAATCCATATCTTGTGATTTGGCTTATTTTGTGTTACTAAGAGGGAATTCAGATGAACAACCTGGTTTTTCAGTAGGAGTGGCAACACAGTACTTTCTTAGCATAAAGCCAATCTCTGTTCTTTCCTAGATTTGCTTTCTCTTTTGGTTCTTTGGATCACTATGTTCTTTCCCATCACCTGCTATCTGGTGTCAACAGAAACATTCATTTGGCTCTAGTTCCATTATGTCACTTAGCTAAAGATTTCAAGGGTTCATATTTGATTAAAACTACATGAGATCTAGTATCTTGTGATGATGACAATTCAATACATAAATGATGCTTTCTTTGCAGACTCGTACTTGCGGTATGGAAATTCTATGAAGCTCACTTACCTCATTCTCTGTGGCAAAGCCTTGATCTATGCAGTTTTGGTGAGCAGTCTGTTGTGGAGAACCAAGGTAAGCTAGTGTGCCACTTGAAGGCTGAGCTTACTCACTAGTCAAGGATCAGTGGATGCAGGCTGGATCTATCCTCAGACCTATGGTTTTTCTGCATGTGATCTGCCAGGCTCTGTGCAGTCTAGTTTGAAAAATCACGAGAGATGAGTTTTCTATTCCTGTTTTTCCAGAACTCAGATAAAATCAACGCTATCTAGCAGAGAAATTCCTTCTCAAAATACTCTTTAAACACATGAAAAAGATGAGACTTAAGGACAAATTCTGTAGAAAATAAAGAAGGGAAATATGAGATATATCATACTTTTCTGTAACCATTAAAAAGGGACTTATGCCTGCAGTGAAAATAACAAGAAGGTTTTTTGAAGTGATACAGAGGATAAACCTGAACAAATATTTACAAAAATTTACAAAGAATTGTGGGATAAGTCTGAACAAATGGGAGAGGCTGAACTAACTGCCAGAAAATACTTTTTATTAGTAAGTTTCTCATATGACTGAAAGATGTACCCGATGAGAGCAGGGGAAGCCTCAGCACTTGTCCCTTTAAAAGCAGGACAGGAAGATGTATTTGAAAAGTGACCTGGCAGAGTTGAGGGCAAGTATGAACACAATCTCAATTATATTTTTGGACCTTTTCCAAGGATACCAGAGGGAGTGGATGTGTATTTTACTGGATCACAATCATAGAATCACAGGATGGTTTAGGCCAGAAGGAACCTTTAAAGATCATCTAGTTCCAACCCCCTGCCGTGGACAGCAACATCTGTCACTAGACCAGATTTTTTAAAGCCATGTCCAACCTAGCCTTGAACCTAGCCTTTCTGGGCAACCTGTCCCACTGTCTCACCATCCTTATGATAACAAATTTCATCCTTTAATCTAAAGCTACCTTGTATCCGTTTAAAACCAGTACCTCTTGTCCTATCACTGGAGGCCTTGGTAAAACGTCTCTGTTTTTCTTAAAAGTCCTCTTGTATACTGAAAGACCTCAAGAAGGTCTCCCCAGAGGTTTCTCTTCTCCCTTCTGAAGATGGGGTTGTTCTCTCAGTCTGTCTTCATACAAACCCTCTGACAATTTTTTGTGACACTCCTCTGGATCTGCTTTAACATGTCCAGATATGGACACAGTACTCCAGGTGGGATCAGTGGGGTCATGTGAGAGCAGAGCAAAGGGGCAGAATCACTTCCCTTGACCTGTTGGCCAGACTGGGCTTTTGATGTATCCCAGGATATGGTTGGCTGTTTAGACTGCGAGTACACAGCTGGGTGACACACAATTTTTCATCCACCAGTATCCCAAATTCCTTTACCACAGGGCTGCTCTCAAGCCATTCATCCTCCAGTCTCTACTGATCCTGGTGGCTGCAGGGTTCACCTGGGCCACCTTCAAGTCTGTCCAGGTCCCTCTGGATGACAACTCTGATTCCCTCAAGCATATCAACTTCCCCTCAGCTTGGTGTCATCTGTGAACTCGCTGAGGGTGCACTCGATCCCAGTATCAATGACACATTGATGAAGGTATTAAATGATGTTGGTCCCAGTACAGGCCCTTGAGGGAAACCATTCATTGCTGGTTACCACTTGGACATTGAACCATTGATGGTAACTCTCTGGGTATGGTCATCCAGCCAACTCCTATATTTGTCTCTTTTGCTCGGTGGTTGTTGTTGTTGTTATAATTTTTTTTAAATATTTTTTATTCTGTTTTGTTTTCAATTAGGTAGGTGGCAAGTTGTATAAAGAATAAATGAAGACCCCTCTTCATCACGTCAGCAGAAACACAACAAGTTATACCCTCTACCTTTCCATAGCAAAGGATCTATGCTTCTAAGAACTTCTAAATATTTTTTGATGATTCTTTGTCCCACTCCTGTTCTCCACTTTGTTGTACTCACTGCTGGATTTTTCCTGTGCTTCCATATCATATATTATCATATTGTATTGTCTCATATGTTTAAAACTAGCACCTTCTTAATGCTCAGAGGCTGAGAACTCAGATCATTGATTTAGGAATAAATTTTTATCTTCTTTTCCGTTGAAAAAACATGAGTTGTTGTTTTTTAATTTGATCTTTTGTAGTAATAATGTCCTACCACACAACTTTCAGTGATGAGTGGTGTCATAAGGAACTCACATTAAAGCTCATTCACTGACAATCTTTATAAGAATAATTTATCTGTTATGGGAACAGAAGACAACTCATCCAGTACTTAGACTGTGTGCCAACAACTGGAGCAAGGCTGCAGGCTTTAGAGGCTTGCACACTCCAGTGGCTAATTTCTAGCCAAAACAGATGCATAAGGAAACAGAACTCTAGCCAGAAGAAAAGTGACACTCTCTCAGGAGAGGCATGGTAGCTGCTTTCTCTCTCACTGTGTTCTTACTTGAGATTAGCTTGGTGATGGCACCACACTCATTGTGTTAGTGAAGAAAAATTTTGTGAATAGATTAAAGGTTGCCTGACAGTTAATGTGTTTGTTTCAAAAGGATCTGATGACAGGTTTGAGAAGAAGGTGGCATATCTTTTTTAATGTCATTAAAGGAAAAAAAGTTATATCTAAGTGCTAGAGGATAGATGGGTATAATCCTACAAAATGGAGTTATTTTTCCTGCTCTGTACTTGTAACTCCTTTAATCTCTAACCACTTCAAAACAAGAGAAAATACTATATTGAAAAATGATTACAGAAATTATTTATGTAGTCTTATGGCTATTTCAAACAAAATGGAGAACTGTTTCCTGAAAATACTTTTTTCAAAAATGTGTTTATGGGTCTCACATTCACAAGATGTGGACAACCTGGTCTAGTGGAAGGTGTCCCTGCCCATGGCAGGGGGTTTGGAACTAGATGATCTTTAAGGTCCCTTCCAACCCAAACAATTCTGTGAATTTATGATTCTATGAAACACTTTTTGTTATCCTCAACCAAACAACTTAATTGTCCCTCAATAATTCACAAAAAGTCTTAGCATTTGCTTCACTATTAAGAAGGAAATTTGAGTTGTTTTCTCCATTACACAGACTAAGCACAGAGAAATAATCTTGGCCATTTGGACACCTCTCTGTAAGCTTTTAAAAATTTAGGCAATAATTTTTATCTATGCTTACACAGAACCACTGCAATTTGGAGGAGAAACCAAGCTGACTATTACGATTAATAAAATGTTATTTACCAAGCATGTTTGAAATAAAACAAAGGAAGCTCAGAAAGAATTTTCCTTTCAGTTATTCTTTTTATAGCTATATTTTCTATTTTGGTCAAGTCATGTTTAAGTTCTTCTGTGTATCAGTGAGAGAGATGATTGGTTGATGATCAGTCTTCCAGTTGCAATTGTTATTTTCATAAATATTTCTTGCCATGTTTGCCCTGAACATTGTAAAATACTAGGTCATTTTTGCTTTTGAAAGATTCAAGAAAATAGACAACAATACAGAAGAAGGGAAAAAACCCAAAGAGAAACACAGACATGTTCTAGGGAAGTCCCTAAAAGAACAAATAAGGTGTTTTGATTCTTGGAGCAAAAATCATAATCTAACTTGCAGATCAAGGCACTAACACTCTATTCCGGAATAGAAAGATAGACTAAGGGACAAATTAAACCTCTAATTATGTATTTTAGGAGGAGAAGAAGGGCTGATGACAAGGAACTGCTGTCTGAAAATCAAAACAAGGGACTAATATACTTAGGAAATAGCATTTGAAAAAAAAAGGATGAAGCATATAATCTAGAGTGAAGGAAGAAAAAAAGGTTGGTGAGCAATTTCAGTGCCAAGTGGGGCATGGAATAGGGGAACATTATCTGTTGGCACAAGTCAGTATTCCAGGGTCCTGTGAACAGAAAATAAACGACTCCATACCCCTTGCATTTGGTGAATTCCCATGCCCAAAGTTTCCTAGATCACAGAAGATGGGAAGGTGACGAGAGAGGGAACCAAGGAGTTAATGGAGGCTTCTTCATCCTTGACTCTTCAAAACCTTAACTGTTACAACAGATATACACCATTATTTTCTTATTGTTTCTCTCTCAAATTCAGACAACAGACCGCAATGACTACTCTGAGTAATAAGCAAAGGCTGACAGCAAAGCTGAGTGCATCTCAGCTTTTCTTGCACCTTCCTTGACAAACATTTTTGTTAGCACATGCCAGAGGTACTGAGCTTCCTGTGGGAGCCAGCCTTTTTATATCTGAAACAACATCTCACATGAAAGGTATACAGTAGAAAATCTTTCTGGTGGCTATGATAAACCTTTAAAAGCACTTGAAAAGTGTGCCTAGTTTTGTGTCCTTCTTCACTTGAGACAAGCAGAACATTAATTATGGGAGAGGAGAAAACAGAGTTTGTGAGTTAGACACCCAATAGTTACATGCATTACAGGAAGGAATGTCCATGGGTAAGGGATTTACCATTAGGTGATTCCAAATTCTGCAGAATTAAGTAATTAGTGAGGGCAAATGTCAGGCTATGTGATTACACTTCAGTCTGCTGGACTGCAAAAAGGTAGGATATATGACAACTTGCCTAAAAAAAGAAAAGTCTGCGATGTTTAGCAGTCAATGTTTTACTAAATCCTAAGCCTACAAACAATATTTGTAGGGTCATGGCAAAGAGGATGCTTAATGTCAAAACAGATTAAATGAAAAGTTATTTTTTTTAAGCTTGAAAGAAAGGAAAGTAATGAAAGTGAAGGACTGCAAGGGAATGATAAACAGGATCTTCCCAGTGCTCCTAGTATTTCAACACAGTAGACATTACTTAAGTGAAGTAGCATACTACATCTCCAGGGACTCAGCTCTTTTCAGGGGTGGGGAGAATTTCAGGAGTGGCTATTCTGGGTATGGTAGATTAGGAAATAGAAAGATTGGACAAGCTTTTCAGGCAAATTTCATATGAAGGTCAGCAGTAATAACATATTTTGAATAAGGAACAAGTCTCACTGTTCTAGGTAAGGAAAAAAAAGGAGAAGTCAGCAGAGCTTCACTAAGAAGGCTAAAGATGACACTTCAGGAAAGACAGAGTAAGAAATAAGGAGACAGAAAGGACTGTAAAGAAGAAGGTGACAAATTCACCAATTACTGAATTTGCCCTATGAATAGGACATTTTAGTGTTAAAAATAACAGATTAATAAAACTGTGAAGAAAGCTAGCAAACAGGCAACCTTAATGGAATAAACTGAAGGGAATGAGAAGGTTGAGACAAGAAGAAGAGACCTCAAGTCAGATAAGTGCATTCTGGAAGAATATATGCCACCTCTACAATGCAGAACTCCCAGAGACTTTATTCAGCATGTACTCAGTCTACTGGCTGTCCTCCAGAAGAAATGAACTGTGTGACTGACCAAGTCTTTGTCACAAAATTAAATTGCTTATGGAATGAGCTAATCATTATGATTCCCTCCTATTTTTGCAGTCTATCTCCCACTGTTCTATCCAAATTGAATGCATGTCCATGAAAGGAAAAGGCAGAAGGACTAGGAAGAATGTAAAATGTATTCATGAGGAACTGCCAAAAGGTGTGGAGGCTGGAGGGAAAGAAAATAAGAGTGGGTTCAAATGAAAGAGACTGGATATTGCAGTATGTATAATGATTCCTAAAAATTGTGAGGATATTGATGTCAAACTACAGCACCAGACACTAAAGTGTTTTACTACTAACAGAAAAATGAGGGCTGCTTTTATGCTATCATTTGGCTATTATTCTGAAAAAAAAAAATTAATGATTCAACATGATTATCACTGAACATTAACCCAGGATAGGTGTGAGTAGTTTTGATAATACCCTATGAGGCTGTCCTGTGCCAATGTCCAGTATTTTAGAGAAGAAACAAAAGTAACAGTTCTCAGCAAGTGGGACTCATGAGAAGGCTGTGTAAGGGGCACATTTCAGGGAGTGTGACAAAGATAAACAAAGAGAAGTCTTTGGATTCAGATTATGAGTTCTTTTCCCAAGATGCCTTATTATTCATGTTCTATGAAGTTAGAACAGACTAGAGCACAGCAGAATGCAATATTAAAAAATAATTCCATCTCAGTCTGGAACACATTAAGATGAATATAATTTCTAAGGACATTTGGTGGAAATGGCTGCATTGATCAAACCTGTCAAAAACACACAGATCAATCTTGACCTCACACATAGATTTGCATAGTGGTTATGGCAGAATTTGGTCAAAGTGAGTGAAGGACAAACTTGAGGATAGGTGTTTTGGAGCAGACAAGCTATATTTTGAAGGAGTGACACAACTAAACAGTTCTATGTAGGAAAAAAATATGGGAAATAACAGAGAGTTCCTTTAAGATTCTCTAATAAAAAGATTATTCCTACACTGAACTCATATCTGTCAGTCCCTGGAAATTGAGGAATCCAATCTTGTTCTTCTCCAAGCTTGTTACAAGCCACATAATTCTCATTCCCACACACACCCTCTATCACACAAATGATTGTGCAAACAGAGCACTTTAAAGGAGGGACTGATACACATCTGGGCTTAAATAATATCTTCTTTTTTTTTCTTCTATTTTTTTTTTTGGACTGCAGTATCTTCAATAGAAATTTAAACCCTTCATGTTTTTCCCTCTTGACAGGGAGTTTGTTTGTCTACATATACACCTATGTATGCAAAGAGAGATATGACTTTTGTATATGTGCCTCAATGTGTCCTGTGTTTGTTTTTGCTGGCAGGCACTACTGTTTTCCTAAGATGTAGGAATAATGCAGACCAAGGTAGAGGAGTGCTTGGGGAGCTTTGGAAGCAGAATATCTGAGAATGCAATAGAAAGGCAGAAGGAGTAGGAGGCATAAAGTGGAGAGCCTGAATGGAGTTTTGGTCTGGTATAGAGTCAGCAGCAGGGGAAAATGTCTCTGAAGGCCTCAGCAGAAAATGGTACCTTGTTATGAGAACAGGTTATGTGCCAAAATGTGTTTGAAAATATCTCTTTAAGGGAACAGCAGTTGAATTTTAGCAAAACAGGATGCGGTTTGACATTTACTCAGAAAAACCCCATTTTGATAACACATCAACCTCCCTTACCACAACACCACC